ACATGGAGGAAATCATGCGGGGAAAAAATGAAAGTTCGTGGGCAGTCGTGGAGCGGGGTTGAAAAGACTGGAATGAAGAGAGTTCAATGGAGTCGTGCTACTGAAGCTCTATGTCCCTCTAGGAAACCTAGGGACAAATAATGTTAATAGTAGTAATTTAATTTGATAAGTGTCATGCGATTCACAACAGCTCCTCCTTGAATCTCCCTATCTCTGGTAACAGACATCAAATCTGGTTATTCGACTGAATGCCATTTTTTGAACAAAACCTCTTCGCATTCAGAACAACTTTGGTGAGACCAGTCAATTATATGATGTACCACTATAAACTTTATTTTACTTCGCAGTCATTTGTACACACAGGATTCATCTTAATCGGTGGTTATTTTCCGTTCCTTTTGAGAAACACTGTAACAATCGAAATTTGATGCTGTAGCATCTTCGAAGAAGTGGCTTCCTCTTCATTACAAAGTGATAAGTGTTCACATTTCTAAATCGTTTAAAATGATTGGCTTTAAAGGCCAACCAGAACAACTGATGAAACAACCAATCACTTTTCTCTATTATATGAAATACTGTCTCTCCACACAAAATATTCTAACCTGATTGGTTATTTTGACAGTCTTTAGGGTGTCCTTTAAAGTTGTTCTTAAAAATACCCAATATCGAGGTATTATGCGTCAACAATAAAGAGATTCTGTTGATCAATTTGTTAGTTGTGTTATATACAGTTGAGGAAGTCGATTCACAAAAGTCTTGTGTAGACGTGAATGATAGGATCAATTGTGTCTGGAATGATTGATTATCTAGGCACTTATAGGTCGTAGGTAACCTACGTCCTATAAGGTGACAGTTTAATAATACAGTAAGTTGTCTATGACAGCTGAATGAAATAAACCAAGAAAGATAATTTGATGAATAGTCTCTTGATAGAATGTTACTGACGTTGAAGGACGAAATAGGTTAAGAGAATATGATAAAATTATTCCCTATTTATGGGGATATAGTGATTTTTCAAGTTAGAATTGATCGTGGATTGACATCAGTTGGAGGAGGATTGGAAATCTGAGAGAATTGAACAGCAGCTGTTTCGCCCTTGGTGAACACCCACGACCTCACCAGGGATCGAAACTAGAATATTTGGGTTCCATGGTCAGCATATTATTATTGGTCCACTGGGTCGGATTCTTATGATTCATATTTCATACTTCTGTCAGTTCAGGATATGGCGTGACCTACATCCAGTGTCGTCGCTGACTATCTGTCTTCATTTTCGACTTCCTTAACTCGACTGGTCATGTCAAGACTTCTCACTGGAACTTCAGGAATCATCTCTCAAAGCTAGTCATCAATAAGCGCTTGTTGTTATTAGTATTATTATACAGTCAAGGAAGTCAATTCGGAAAGGTCTTATACTAATATGAATGATAGAACCAACTATTGCTGGAATTCAATTCAGCAAAATAGTTGATTATCTAAACGATTATACCGCGTAGGTAATTTGATAAAACAATATGAAGGTGTTTATGAGAGGTATTTTGATGAATAGTCTCTTGATAGAATGTTACTGACGTTGAAGGACGAAATAGGTTAAGAGGATATGGTAAAATTATTTCATATTTTAAGGATGAAGTGATATATACAGTAAGGAATTAGAAAATCGGATTGCCTGGGATAGGATGCTGAAAAATTTGTGCATCCCAAATCAGGCCACAATAGTTGCAGCTGGAACACAACTCAGATTGTCCGAAGGATTCATAGTTTAATGTCTTTTAACAAGTTGATGGTTTGACGGTAAATAATAGACAAATAACTTTTGCACAATTTCTGTATGATTCGTTAGAACCAAGTATCCTAACATTCAGCTCATAATGATCTTCACTACATTTTGTTTAACGACGATGGGATATGTTCACGAGTATGGAAATTTAGATTTCTAGGGTAAAGGCTGACATAACTGGCGGCAATGGGATAGTCAAATTGACAAGCACAAGAAGAAGTGAACAGTCTAGGCAATTCATCATTCACGCTTGGTGTTACCATCTAGCGTATAGAGGCAATCGACTGGAAGTTTATAAACCGACTGATATCCATCAAAATGCATTGCCATGGTCAGCTTCGTAGCTTAGTATTCACACTGCAACAGAAATTGATCAGCATTCAGAACTAGACTACGTGAAATCGCTTACTCTTCAGTGATTTATCAGTGTATTTATCTTTAGTTTTTCCACTTACATTGTTACCTAGTTAACTGATGAAATTCATACACTATTTCAACTGTCATTAGACAGAAGAATTTAAGGTCTGATTAGTGTTACATACTGACCCTGAATAACGTGAGACCGTTAAGATATTTTTGAAAACAGATGTTTCTAATCAGTAATAAAGAAAGTTCAAGTTATATCAAACTAGCAACTAAGGGTAGGGTTAAGATGGTCACTAGTTCGAATCCCGCCGCAGTCCAAATTTTCATTTTACCTTCGGTTATCACCCTGTATCTATACAAGTCTGCCAAACCACTGATATCTAAAATGGTCAGAATGATAATTAGTTACTTTTTATTGACGATGGATAGTAGCTAGCAGTGGAATTCAGGCGAAAACTAGCAAGTTGAAAGAAGAGGCAGGGCAGCAAAGATGGGACTTCCTTCAAGCGAATATGGAGGAGACAGAGGTGATGAAGATACAGAACCAACAACAGCATCAACACAAACAAACACCAATCAACTTAAAGGGGAGAAAATTAAAGGAAGTAGCCCCTTTCACCTATCTAAGCAGCACTGTCTCAATTACAGGCGGTACAGACGATGATGTCAAAGCCAGACACGATCGGAAAAGACAGCAAGACAGGCGTTCATTAACCTGAAATCAGTGTGGAGATCTTCTGCAATCAGCATGTGGAACAAGATCCGGATTCTCAACACCAATGTCAAGTCAATGCTGCTATATGGTCCAGAAACTAGGCTCATTACGATAAGCATTTCCAACAAACTACAGACATTCATCAACAACTGCCTACTCTGACTCAATACTGATGATCAGATCAGATGGCCAGAATAATAATAATAAGCAACAAGGATCTCTGGTGGGTAACGAACCAACGAAGTAAGAACCTATCGTTCAACGAATGTGCAGAAGGAAGTGGAGATGGATTGGGCATACACTGAGAAAACCATTCGGGGACATCACGCGCTGGGGCCAGTTGCTGGAGTGGAACCCCGATGGGAAGCGACGAGTTGGGCATCCGAGGCGACGGTGATATGGAGAAGATCATGCGAGGAAGAGATGAGAGCTTGTGAGCTGTCGTAGGGCCAGGTTCAAAAGTTTGCAGAGAAGAGAGTGTACTGGAGACATGCTACTGAAGTATTGTGTTCCACCAGGAACCCAAGGGACAAATAATAATAATAATTTTATTCTGTTTCGGAATAATCAGCTCGACGTATATGCCTCCTAGTGAGCGGTGTTGTCCCCTTTAGGACACGAATTTCGGACCGATAACTTGAAACGTCAGAGCGTTATCCACTAGACCAACGAGTCACAATAACCAATTCTTGTACAAAGAGTATAGCTTCAGTGTTGTTGCTTGTATGATACCGTCGTTGAGTGGAGCAAACTGATCATATGGACTCCTGCATGGATGCTTCTATATTGCCTATGTTCGGGTTATATATGAATGATGGGTAGTGGCTAGCAGAGAAATCTAGGACTGAGTGGCACCAGGCTGATGTCCAAACATCAATAGCTATTATTATCTCACTATTTGTCCCTTGGGTTCCTGGTGGAACACAATACTTCAGTAGCATGTCTCCAGTACACTCTCTTCTCTGCAAACTTTTGAACCTGGCCCTACGACAGCTCACAAGCTCTCATCTCTTCCTCGCATGATCTTCTCCATATCACCGTCGCCTCGGATGCCCAACTCGTCGCTTCCCATCGGGGTTCCACTCCAGCAACTGGCCCCAGCGCGTGATGCCCCCGAATGGTTTTCTCAGTGTATGCCCAATCCATCTCCACTTCCTTCTGCACATTCGTTGAACGATAGGTTCTTACTTCGTTGGTTCGTTACCCACCAGAGATCCTTGTTGCTTATTATTATTATTCTGGCCATCTGATCTGATCATCAGTATTGAGTCAGAGTAGGCAGTTGTTGATGAATGTCTGTAGTTTGTTGGAAATGCTTATCGTAATGAGCCTAGTTTCTGGACCATATAGCAGCATTGACTTGACATTGGTGTTGAGAATCCGGATCTTGTTCCACATGCTGATTGCAGAAGATCTCCACACTGATTTCAGGTTAATGAACGCCTGTCTTGCTGTCTTTTCCGATCGTGTCTGGCTTTGACATCATCGTCTGTACCGCCTGTAATTGAGACAGTGCCACCTAGATAGGCGAAGTAGGCTACTTCCTCAAATATCAATAGCTGAGTTATTAAAAATTCTGTCATCGAGAATTGTAGGTTGAATTCAAATTAACTCTGAGTTATGTAAAAACGACTGTCATTAAAATTAGTCACAGTGGTTTGTTACAAGACTTCGGATAACTAGGATAATAAGTATTACAGTCATCTTGAAGCTGTGAATCCTAATTAAAACATTAATAATTTCTCATAGAAAGCTATAGGCAATTTTATAATGGACAGTCTTCTCTTTGACAACACTTGCTTTAAGTTGGATTACTTTGTCATTGTAAGTTATATGACTAATCACATCAAAAATTATACTCTCAAATGAAAAGTTTGAGTTCAGGTTGGTATTTATTACAGACTACCATTAGTTGGCGAATCATTTAAAACCCAGAGTATTGAACAGCTGCTTTATCTCAGTATGAAACTCATCAACAACGCATATCCATGACTCTGGCAGGAGTCGAACCTAAGACCTACACATTTTACCATTGAGACAAGGATGCAAACTTCAAAACCGCAATTACACTTTAATTGATGCATTGAAATAAACATTAATAAGTAGAAAAGGATATTAAATTGACGAAAACAAGCTTACTTCTCCGTAGATCATTCATGTTGTCATTGACTGATGAATAAGTAGTAGATTCATTATTCCAGAAAGGTAGATTCATTTTTGGTCCCCTTAACTGTGAATATCGGTTGAACAGTTTTGAAAATGGTAAGCTGTTTTTCAAATCTTCTCTATGCACTAGATTGTCAGCGTTTACAGTTGAACAGGTCGACATCATTTCTTCCACTACTGGTTTTGCTACATTACTAACCATTAAGAAAAAGTTATATCAGAATATTGACAACAAGTACTTAAAATCTGATGATGTAAGCGACTGATAAGATTACATGTAAGCAATATTTATTACGTCATCTTCAACGAAAGTCTAAAGAGCAGATGGATGACTGATGAAGCTTCCGAACAAATGACACCTTATAAGTAGTCACATTGTAACATGAACTATCTTTGCATGAAGAAAATTGTGCAGAAGATTATGCTATTTAAACATACTTTTGCCAGGTCACTAATACCTGAAGACGATGCTGCATGAACCAAGTATAAGTGCTGAGAGATTACGTTCGGAATTTTCTAAATGAACTTCGACATTGACCACTATTCTTATGACTCATTATTTAACGTAGAAAGCGCTAGATTTTACAGATTAGCTAACATTTAGGCCGACAACACCTCATATCCGTTCTATTTTAGCTTTTCACTGCAAAACTGCTACTGATCCACAGAATTCTTAAACTCTACCACTAGCCATCTAATCACAATGTACTGAACAGTTTGCCAATCTACACAGTCTACTTAATGGTATATCTCCATCGTTCGACCCCGCAATAACTCCTTAGCACTATCACCTTCACTTTCTTGCACATAACGTCCATCAGCTTTACCATAGCTTCAAAATATCATAGGACACTACTGATATCTGCCTCCTCGAAGACAGCAGGTTACGGATAATCTCATCTGATCTGGAGACGGTGATACCAGCTGATGAGAACAACGCTAGGATTTTCATTGATTCCTTCGACGTTGACGCGCTATATGGTGACTGAAATTCTAATCAACTTGTTCAAATTTGCCTTGAAAACTGGACTTTTATTTATCACTTTCTTACCTAGTTTAATCTTGTATATTAAGTAACCTCGTGAAATATTTAACAATTTTAGCATGTTTCTCCATAATTTAGACATATTACTGATGGAATATGTCTGACTAGTTTTCATACTTTCCATCTGATACTCAAATAACCAATCAAAACTTCAAACTCAGAGTTATCCAGATTATCTACAACAAAGACAACTAACTCACTTATATATTTGAAGAAATGAAGCTATTCAAACACTGTTTGTATCGTGCCACTGGTTTCCACTTAAGATAAACAAAAAGAATGGCGCCTTAGAGAATGTTTACATCACCTGTCTGTATTAAAGAATAAAGGACATTAGGATTGAGTTGGCTTGAGCTGGATTGTTTTTATTCTACCGTTGTATTTCTGTTTGTCTACTATCATAACATGAGTATCAGAGTGGTCAAAAAGTTTCTTTTTTCATCCACCTATTCTCCTTATAGTGAAAACCTTTAACTTTACTATCCTTTGAAAACTATTTTGTCCCTCTTGTACTCTCCTACATGTTCGAAATGATGATTACTGGCATTAAGATTCAAGGAAGAATAGTATCACTCACTGAGGTGAACGTATATCCAGCTGACGAATACCAAAAAGGGCCAAATTTCAGTCATGAATTCTGCTGCTAGGCAACATTAAGTAAATTATAGGTATATGACCTTTTACTGAACGTGTATTTTCAGCAAATCACTTCCAAAATCGATCTCTTCCTTTCGTCCTAGCTGATAATCTGACCTATATGGGTCAGTTCAGAATTTTACCTTTTTCATTTCTTAATGTGACAGAGTATAGTTAACATGAATGCTACTTTATTGACTATGAAATACTGGATAGGATTGTTGTTCAAATCTACGTATTTTTCATTTCTGCCTGTATTCTGTCCATCAGTGGTCACCAGTCTTAGTTGGTAAGTTTTGTAATGTAAGATATTCATATGAAAAGAATATGAACAATAGATGCAACCATGAATTGATTTATTCCACGTAATTGCTCGTATTCGAAACTAGTATGCTTTTGCTGAGTGTTTCAGAAACTCAAACTATGACGGCTCATAACACTAGCACAAGGACAATACCTTCTCAACGATGCATGCCAATCCGTCTCCACTTTCTTCTGCTCATTCTGAGTGATAGGTTTTTGCTTCTTTGGTTCGTTGCCAGAGTTCCTTGTTGCTTATTCTTACTGGCCTTCCAATCTGATCTTCAGTATCGAGTAAGCGTAGCCCGCAGCTGTTGATGAATGTCTGTAGTTTGTTGGAAATGCTTTTCGTCACGCGCCAAGTCTCTCAACCATCACATAAAAGCACAGACTTTTTAATGGTGTTAAGAATCCGGATCTTGTTCTTTGTGATGAGTGCACTGAAGTACATCTCAACGCTGATTTCAGGTTAATGAATGCTTATCTTGCTGCCTTTCCTATCCTGACTGCTTTGACATCCTCATCGGTGACTGCACCGTCTGTATTTGAAACGATACTGCCTGCCTGGGTAGGCAGGTAGGTGAAAGAGACTACTTCCTTTAGGTTTCTCCCCTTCATCCTGATTGAAACTTGTTATTGGTCGTTGGGCATCTTCATCACCTTTGTCTTCTCTCCATTCAATTGAAGTCCCATTTTCGCTGCCCTGACTCTTCTGTCAACTTGTTACTTTTCGCCTATAGATATTCGAGTTTGTGCGACAAGACATTAGACATAAATCATCATCGTTGGCGAATTTCAAATCTTCTAGGGTCTTTTCATTGGTCAAACAACATAAGCCCATCTTCTCTTTTCTCACCGCTTGTTGCATGATCCAGTTGAGTCGACCATAATCAGGAAGATGATCGATGATAGTAGGCGGCATAGTTGTCTTACTCCTTTCTTAACTTCAAAGGTGTCACTGAGCTTCCCATTGTGAATCACTTGGCATGTGGCGTCTTCGTATAGTTGTTGAATGAGGTTGATAAAGATTTGTGGTATTCCATAGTGTTAAAGCAGCTGTCAAATTAATTGTCGGTCGACGCTCTCGAAGGCCTTTTCAAAGTTGATGAAATTGAGGTAGGGAGTTGACTACCATTTAATCACGTAATAATGATACAATAATCAGTTGACAAAGCACCTGACCAAGAACCCAACCCATTCACATACAGCATCTAATAGGGACTTACTTTGAACTAGATTTCTTTTCCGATGAGTAAACAAATCTATCCAGTGGAACTCTCTGCTTATCTCTATTATTCAGTACTTGTAATTTGCACAAATTACATAACTGTATGAATTTCTAAAGAATAAAAATAAACAAATTACAAAAATAGAAGTGAATTATTACTTATGTAATAAAAAATCGAAAATCTTCAATTAGACTGTAATTTAAAGCGAGCCACAAGTGTGAAAAAAGCAGGATATAATGAATCACAAATTTCAGTAGTACTTGTCAGCTGGATACTCTACTCTACATACTTGATTACATATACCGTTAAGCAATGGAAATGAGCATACATACTTACATGTATAACGTAGACTGAGACAGATTTAGGTGTAACAATATAGAAGTGAATAGTTTTTTACAGGTCAAATAGTAATCCAGAGGATAGAAATGATTATTCAAAATTGAATGGGTTACGGATGGGTTAATTGAGTTTGGATAATAGTGGATTTCAGGCAGGAAAATGATAATAACAATAATAATGTTGGCATAGAGGGTGAGAACTGAATTGATTGAGCGTCGATTACATCATTGAAAACAAGTTAGTTAATAGTACTACTTATGCGGACAATAAGAAAACAAGGTGTATATTGAGATGAATAATAATGATAACATTGATGAAGTCAAAGCCTGATGGTCGTGAGGACAGTTACTCAACGATGATATTGGGTAGCAGTTGCGCTATATCGTGAGCTAAAAGAAGTTGGAAATATGGAGCGTTGGATTCTGACCCAGTGGTTCAGTGGTAACGCTCTGGAACGAAACAGTTCTTTAAGTGATTTTAGTTCATGATGAATACCATCCTGAAGTCAATGAAATCCCTCATGAACCTGTAAAGTGAATCATATAATCACTCAAAATCTGTTGGTAAAGTAATCATCTAAATTCTTCTATGCAAACAGTAAAGGCTTCACATGAAAAACGAGTACAATATGAGGTTATAAATGCAAAAAGGCTTATCACTACTTCCTTTATCAACACATCAGTTCGATTTCAATCATTTGATAGCTATTAGTACTTTTCCCTTGGGTTCCTAGTGGAAAATAGGACTTTAGTAACACGCCCCCATCGTACTCTCTTCGTTCCAGTCTTTTAAACCACCCTCTACGACTGCCCGCAAGCTTTCATTTATTCTTCACATGATCTCCTGCATGTCACCCCCGTCGTTTTCCCTTTAGGTTCCACTCGATGGTTTCATCTGGCACGTGATGTCCCCAGTCGGCCCTCTCAGTGCATGCTCAATCCATCTCCACTCTCTTCTTCTGCTCATTTCTTGGGTGAGATAGCTTCTTGCTTCATTCGTTCCTTCCCAAAGTTCCTTATTGCCAATAACTATTATTATCATTATTATTACTATTATTGTTCTGGCCACTTGAGCGTCAACAACGAACGAGACAGCATAGGCAGTTGTCGAAAGATGTCTGCAGTCTGTTACAAATGATCTTCGTAACACACCAAGTCACTCAACCATCACAAAGAAAAGAAGCACTGACTTCACTGACATGAGTGTTGAAAATCTGGATGTGGTTGACGCCTTATGCTGAGTGCAGTGAAGTAGATCTGCACACTGATTTCAGATTAGTGGAAGCCTGTGTTGCTGTCTTTCCAATCCTCAACACTTTGACATCGTCATGTGTGCCTGTGACGCCGCCTGTAGTTGAAACGATGCTACCTTGCCCAACCAGGCAGATGAAAGTGACTACTTCCTTTAAGTTTCTCCCCTTCATGTTGATGGTGATTGGTGCTTCTCATTGTTGTTGTTGTTGTTGTTGGTGTGGTGGTGGTGGTGATGTTGGTGGTGGATTTGGTTGGGTATCTACATTCACTTGATCGAAGTTCCGTCTTCGCTGCCCTGCCCTGCCCTGCTCTACCTCTTCTGTCAACTTGTTACTTTTCGCCTGTAGATATTCGAGTTTGTGTGACGAGACATTAGACATAAATCATGATTGGTGAAATTCAAATCTTCTCCGTCGGTTAAACAGTATATGCCCCTATTCTCGCTCCTCACGGTTTGCTACATGATCCAGTTGAGTCGACCACAATCAGAAAGATCATAGGTGATAGTTGGTGACAGCCTTGTCTTACTCCTATCTTCTTTTCAAAGGCGTCACTAAGCTTTCCATTGTGGATAGCTATAGCCTTAGTGAACTTCTGAATGTTTTGAATTATCTTATTTTTTGATTACCTTCAAAGATTCCAACAGATCTACTTCAGTCTTCAAGTCAATAGGAGATACTGAATAACTTGAATAGTGAAACCATTTGAATCCTCTTAGAAGTAAACTTGTAAGCATGTACATCTTTTGTGAAATTTGTAGAATAATTACCATTGGGTAACTTCTCCTTTGGTATATCTTATTCCTAAACATTGATATTGAAATAAAAGTCAACTAAAACTGATGACAATCAAATCACTAACTTGATATTCATGAATTAAATTTTCAAGTTCTTTTTCTTGATAATAAAATGTCTTCACATCTGTATTCTGACTGATAGATTCATCGTCTTCAAAACATGTTTGTGTTAGTAATGTTGTAAAAAAAAAGACAAACACGAAATTTCATATAAATATGTTGAAATTACTTTGAAACAATTAGTCCCTTCGATGAATTTTTATAGTGTACTAAGAAGATAGAGGTGCAGTGTATTCGTGCGATACATTTCAAACAATCTATCCTAAGGTATTTTATATGAAGGATGAAAATAAGCTGGGATAGAATAAAAAATCAGTGTGTAGCAAGTCTATGTGAACTACCCAATACCTTAACTTTTATAATTTCTATTCAATACAGTACAAATGAGGTTTAGTAAACTGCTTATTCAAAAGAACTTAACATATTTATACAACAGGTACATTGGAAGAGGAAATCAAATTTCTAACAGATACACTCATAGAAAACGCATATCCTCTAAAGTTCATCAATCGTTATAAAAGCGTCTCAGTGGTGAGAATTAATCAGTATTGTGTCCCATAGAAGGATATTTACACCATGTTACCATACAAGGGGGAATCAGACTGTATGATCTTAAGATGAAGACTTAATTCAGTCATTAAAAGATATACTACGCAGCCAAACTCAATATAATCAAGAAAACGAAATCTATGCTGCAAAATAAACCTCATCACTTCATAAATGATTATGTCACATCCCTTTGTATATACCAATTTACATGTGTGTGTAGTGATATATACAGTGGAAGGAGTAATTGAACTATGAAGTCATTGGTGGTGGAGCATATCCGTAGATGGTTAGAAATACAATTACATTCAAATAATTCAATAAATAAAAGGGCCAGACCAGACATCATCGTCGATAGGTAAACACATTATCAATCGCAAAACAGCCTTTAGACCAATGTCCAGTAACCATCAAGACTGATTACTTAAGTTCATTGAAGCCTTAGCTATAAGAAAGTTCATACTCGCTGTGCGTATGTAAAAACAGTTTACCCTTACCTTAAACCTACCTTGGTAATCTTTATTTCATTTTAATGCCATAGGAGTTGTGAAAATATGTCATTCCTCCTTGTTATTCCCATATTTTCCAAATCTTCTTTTTCCCCAGTTTATTTGTTTTATCCCAACCTGTTTTCATCCTTTATATGAAATACCTTGACAAGTTAATGTATGTGTGTGATCAAATTATTCGAAACGTATTGCACAAATATATATCACATTTCTCAGATAACCTCCATCGTCTTATTATTATTATTATTATTATTATTATTATTATTATTAGTCCCTTGGGTTCCTAGTGGAACATAGGGCTTCAGTAGCACGTCTCCAGTGACCTCTGTTCTCTGAGATCTTTTGAACCTGGTTCCACGACAGCCCAGAAACTCTCATTTCTTCCTCGCAGGATCTCCTCCATGTCACCCTCGGACGTCCAACTCGTCACTTCCCATGGGGATTCCACTCGAGCAACTGACCTGATGCGTGATGTCCCCAGTCGGCCTTCTCAGTGCATGCTCAATCCACCTCCACTTCCTCCTGCATATTTGTTGAGTGATAGGTTCTTGGTTGGTTCATTCCCAGAGCTCCTTGTTTCTTATTACAATATGAAGTTACTTATTTTTATGGGAGCATGAAATACAACTTTAGGTAAGTTTTATAAAACAAATCTTTTAAGGAGTTCAATGTTTGTTCACAAAGTCAATGTTACTTTATTCATTTCATTCTCAAGGATTCATATATCTTTTGTGCACAACACATGCAGCATTGGTTAATAGATAAACATACCTTCTGATTATGATGCTGCTGTTACGGATGTTACAACCACAGCAACAAGATGTTTCCTTCAGGTATATGGTATCTTGGTTACTATTAAATGACCACACCAAGTAAGCTGTGAAACTTGACTAGCCTACAACCTGGTAGTGAAGTCTACATCAAGAAAGGGCAAATTCACTTTTTGATTACTGGATAAGTCTTTATTCACAAAGCTGCTGAATGAAGTTGACTAGACGTTTGGATTACCATAGGATTTGAACAACGACAGAGTTGTACAGCTAGACGAAAAGCTGATTAGTTGACCTAAATGTAAATTTAACTGACATGTATAATACGTGACACTATCACTAGCGCATTAAGTCGACAAGCTGACGTTGCCAACTTCAAGTTATTTAACAACTTACTTCGTGTTCCAACTTCATTCATTATCATCAACACACATTAAGGTCTATCTGTTAACAGAAGCTGTCATATACTCGGTATTTATTTAAACTATTTTCTAATAATCCCTTCCTCTACTTGCAAATCCGAAAACGAAAGTCTGAAAGACAATGTGTTAAAAAAAAAAATAAAAGAAATGAAAGTCGGTTTATTGTGTCATAAATTGGATCACATGGGTATCATGGTGTTTAATGACATAGCTAAACATACTCCGCGTACATCTTCATTTCCCCTGTTGGTCACTAACCAGCGTTCATTCAATTCTACTAAACAAACAAGATATATTGAAATACTACTCAGTAAACAATTATTACTACATTTCCCTTGGGTTCCTAGTGGAACATACGGTTCGAGCAGAACGCCTCCATTCCACTCTCTTCTCTTCAATCTTTTACACCCGAATCCACCACTGCCCACAAGCTCTTATTTATTCCTCATATGATCTCCTGCATGTCACCCCCGTCGTTTTCCCTTTAGGTTCCACTCGATGGTTTCATCTGGAGCGTGATGTCCCCAATCGGCCTTCTCAGTGCATGCTCAATCCATCTCCACTCTCTTCTTCTACTTATTTGTTGGGTGAGATAGCTTCTTGCTTCCTTGGTTGGCTACCAGAATAAAGACACTTGTCGCTCATTCTTTCTCGCCATCTGAGCGTTAGCAACGAGACAGAGCAGACAGTTGCAGAAAGATGTCTGCAGTCTGTTACAAATGATCTTCGTAACACACCAAGTCACTCAACCATCACAAAGAAAAGAAGCACTGACTTCACTGACATTAGTGTTGAAAATCCAGATGTGGTTGACGCCTTATGCTGAGTGCAGTGAAGTAGATCTGCACACTGATTTCAGATTAGTGGAAGCCTGTGTTGCTGTCTTTCCAATCCTCAACACTTTGACATCGTCATGTGTGCCTGTGACGCCGCCTGTAGTTGAAACGATGCTACCTTGCCCAACCAGGCAGATGAAAGTGACTACTTCCTTTAAGTTTCTCCCCTTCATGTTGATGGTGATTGGTGCTTCTCATTGTTGTTGTTGTTGTTGGTGGTGGTGGTGGTGGTGGTGATGTTGGTGGTGGATTTGGTTGGGTATCTACATTCACTTGATCGAAGTTCCGTCTTCGCTGCCCTGCCCTGCCCTGCTCTACCTCTTCTGTCAACTTGTTACTTTTCGCCTGTAGATATTCGAGTTTGTGTGACGAGACATTAGACATAAATCATCATCGTTGGCGAAATTCAAATCTTCCAGGATCTCTCCATCGATTCCGACAGCGTATCACCCTCTTCTCGATCCTCACTCTTTGCTGCATAATCCAGTCCACGACAATCAGGAAGACCATTGATAATAGTACGCCTCAGTCTTGTCTTACTGTTGTCTTCACTTCACCTCAAAGTCATCACTGAGTTCACCATTATGAATTATTTGGCATGTGGCGTCTTCATATAGCTAGCTGTTGAATGAGATTGATAAAGACTATTGGCAGACCATAATGAAATACTACTCATACTACCTGCATATTCTGTCCTCTTTTCAACAATTATTATTTATAAATGCTCTTCATCGTGGTAAAAAATGAATGATTAGTAAAGGAAATAAGTTAATACGTGCAAAATATTTGCATAAATCGATTATGAAGAAACATTTCCCAGAATAATTGATAAAAGAATGCAGGTTAACGTTCAATTCATCTACTTGACTGGAAACAGACTGTCTAACGAAATCGATGAATAAAAATATCTGATGTGTATTGTTATTTTTTTTTTTGAAAAAATCTGATTATCCGACAATCATTTCTGCGCATATTAGATAGATCAAATTTGATTTGTGCATTTCCTAGAATAATATATAACTACTTATACTGCTTTACAGTAGTATACCTTGGTTCATGAAATTTCAGCGGGCAAAACAATGGCAACACGTTATTACATATACAATTTGCATAATTGTAAAACTGATTGACAGTAAAAGAGACCTTGCTGCTGTTTACTTCATTTTTCTCAAAGAAAAGGCTTATTTTACGTCGCAGCATTGAACATTTGTGGAGTTTTATTGTTAACAATCACTAGCTTCAATATTCAGATTACACCTTCTAAAAACGATGTGGTGAGGATTAATAGCTGCGGAGCGGAATCATGCTCTTGTCCACCACAAGCAAAATATAATCCCGGAGAAACTGAAGGATGCGCTGGATTCAAAACTACAACCGAAATAGACTCGCTAGCCTCAGCAAGTACAAATCATATGCGGACCGAATTGCAACGCCATGCTACGTGTCATCATAGAACAGAGCATAGAATGGCAGTCAACCCTCTGTCTCACCTCAACTTCATCCACTTTGAAAAGGCTTTCAACAGCATCGACCGACAAGTAATTTTGCAACTGCTCCAACAGTACGGAATACCACAATCATTTATCAATCTCATTCAACAGCTAGCTATATGAAGACGCCACATGCCAAATAATTCATAATGGTGAACTCAGTGATGACTTTGAGGTGAAGTGAAGACAACAGTAAGACAAGACTGAGGCGTACTATTATCAATGGTCTTCCTGATTGTCGTGGATTGGATTATGCAGCAAAGAGTGAGGATCGAGAAGAGGGTGATACGCTGTCGGAATCGATGGAGAGATCCTGGAAGATTTGAATTTCGCCAACGATGATGATTTATGTCTAATGTCTCGTCACACAAACTCGAATATCTACAGGCGAAAAGTAACAAGTTGACAGAGGAGGTAGGGCAGGGCAGGGCAGAGCAGGGCAGCGAAGATGGGACTTCGTTCAAGTGAATGTAGATAAGACGGAGGTGATGGAGATACCCAACCAAAACCACTACCACCACCACCGACAACAACAAGCTCCAATCACCATCAGCGGGAGAAACTTAAAGGAAGCAGTCTCTTTCATTTATCTAGGCAGCACTGTTTCAACTACAGGTGACACAGATGAGGATGTCAAAACCAGGATCGGAAAGGCAAGACAGGCGTTCATCAACCTGAAACCAGTGTGGAGATCTACTTCACTGCACCCAGCATAAAGCGTCAACCACATCCGGATTTTGATACTAATGTCAGTCAAGTCAGTGCTTCTATGTGATGGTTCAGAGACTTGATGCGTTACCAAAGGCATTTCCAACAAACTACAGATATTCATCAACAACTGCCCACGCCCACTCGATACTGAAGATCAGATGAGATGGCCAGAAAGAATAAGCAACAAGGAACTCTGTCAACGAACCAACGAATCAAGAACCTATCACTCAACAAATATGCACTGGAAGGAAGTGGATATGGATTGGGCATACACTGAGAAGGCAGGCCGACTGGGGACATCACGCGTCAGGCCAGTTGCTCGAGTGGAACCCAGATGGAAAGTGACGAGTTGGGTGTCTGAGGCAAAAGTGACGTGGAGGAGATCGTGCGAGGAAGAAATGAGAGCTTGTGGGCTGTCGTGGAGCCAGGTTGAAAATATTGGAGAGAAGAGAGTGGAATGGAGACGTGCTACTGAAGCGTATGTTTCATTAGGAACCCAAGGAACAGATGACAATAATCATTGCATTAAATCCTTGATAATTGGTTTTAGCAACATTTGGAGATGCAGATAAACTAGTTGGGTTCATTGTGACAACAGGAACCCATGGTTGAAGACTCTAAGGGAAATCGCCGAAAATCGACGTCAATGCCTCAGATGCATCCACAGATTATCTTCATTCTTAACCGCAACATAGAATCCAACATGTTCTTATTTCTTCCTCCCTCTCTTTTATTGCTTTCTACTGCTTTTGGCAGATTTTACTCTCCTTCTTCATCTCTCATCTTATTTCCTTTCTACTTGTTTTGCTGATATGTGAGATGTGGAAACTTGTACCGCTGTGCGGTAACTCCTAGCCCATGTTCATACACATTGTTAAATTCCTCGTATGTATGTTTCTTCGGAAACGGAAATGTTTGAATAGATTTTTCAAACACATTTATCTACTTTTAAGTTGAATACGATTCAGCTCAAAGAATAAAACACAGTCAAGATATTGAAAAAAGAAAGAACAACATTGAGGTAGGAAGTTAAAAAGAATCCATTTTGTATTTCAGCAGCATCTTGTCAACCAATTACGACCTCTATAATATCAAAATATTTATGGTTTTACTGAAAAGTTAACATACTTCAATTCTTAAAGTTGGTATTCACTGGACAGCTGTTCCGTCCATTTAGTGTAGGGCTCTTCAACAGTGCACACCCACGATCCTGCCAGAGATCGAACCCACGACTTCCAGACTCCGTGGCCAGCTCGCTACCATTAAGCCTGTCAGTCAGAATCGAACGTTCCAATCCAATAGAAATAAGGACCATTGTTTGTGTTCCAAGTGGCTCAATGGCAATGTGCTGAAGGTCATGGATTCGATCCCTGGAGAGGTGGGACCGTGGGTTCCCGCTGCTGAAGAGTCTCATACTAGACTGAAACAGCTGTCCAGTCCCCTCAGTTTTCCAATGTTCCTTGAAAGGTTGCAGAATATATGTCGGTGGTCTACAGACTGACAACAGTAGTCATACAGTAGAGTTCAGTCATAACGTCAACTTCGAAGAAGGTTCACAAATGACAGTAAACTGCCATAATCATAATTCACACAACTCAATAGAAGTTTCTCAAATAAAAATAAAAACAGGAGTAGCAAGTGAAATATTGAGGGACCTTACGATTACGTAAGTAGGTCGTACGCGAAATACCTAAAATACTGTGAACTAAGCTCAGTTAGTTGAGCACAGTCTGTGCGAGTAAAAGATGATGCATAGTAAATAAAAGTGAAGGAATAACCACCCGGGGTTGATAAAGGATGATGGAACCAAATAACAGTCAAGAAGGGTTCCCGGGATAGACAGAAGTTACGTATACCTGCTTCCTTCTTAAACAGACAAATCAGGTTTATAGTGTTTGACGGTTATATCAAAGCAACTTGAGGAGAATTGAGCTAGTTCGTTTGTGGATTATCTTGAAGGAGCTAAAGACGTCAGCTCAGTTTCCAGTGTCAATGTGTTAAGAAAATCTACGACTATTCAACTGATATGCGAAAGCTGTGAACTCTGTTCGTCTGTGTATTATGTGGAGTTTGTCTGTTAGTTGTAAACGACTTGCTCACCTTTGTCTAATCTATGTAACCATCTAGTCCATGGTGCTTTGTACTCATAGAAGTCTATCGATAAAGGCTTGCAATTTACCCAATAGCTAGGCAGGGTGACACTACGGTGCACGTTTTAGTGTTAAATGGTGAGAGGTAATCAGCAGGAAGCCCTACCCGACTTGGTTTTCACACTTGTTGGCATTCATCAGCATGGTTTATATGTAACCAAAAAGAGACTGGTCTTTCCACGAAGATTCTAGATTGCGTCGTTCAGTATTGAAGTAAGAAATTTGACCACAAAGGTGTTCAGGTCACGACTGACACCCTGTAGGAGGAGCAAATTAAGTACAGTTGATGGTCACCGGTGAGTAACCATTGTTCGACTGTTAACTTTGGTTCTAATTGTAGTCCTTATTAAAGTAAAACATTCCCAGAATATAGAATGATCAATTTGTGAATGATTTAAAAATTCCATGATCCACTTAATATTTCTAACGGTTGAATACTTTTCCTTGAACTGCTCAATTGTTGTATCAATAGCGTTTCCAATAGAAATCCCCAAAACGAAATCATTAGATGTGATCTGTGACATAAACATATCATAGACTATCGAAAGATACTACTAATGAACAACTTAAGTAGATTTAAGTAGATTTCATTAGCCAGATCAGAATGGTCGTAACACTTAATACATATCTAGTGAGGTCGACCTGAAATGAATGAAACGGCCATCCGGTACTCATATCACTCTCATGTGATGATTCTGATTGATCATAAGACAAATCTATGGAGTATCTCTATACATTGGCAAAAGTTTCCTGATCTAATTACTTCCATTCATCACCTTTAACATTACTCATAGATTATGTTTAACTTTTAGAGGATACCTTATTTCATAATCAAATATACAATACTGTTTATAATGACTATCAATTTACTTACAGTTATATTGTACAGTTATTGAATTCATTTTGTTTGGATGAAGTAGTCCTAACCATAAAAGATGAATTTCATGTAAAAATTCTTGAAATTCTAGAGTTGATCCAATTTCTACTGAGAATATATTCTCAGTTGTTTTAAGAAATGTGTATATACTTTGTCGTCTTCTATTCCATCTAGTTGGTATACGTGTAATGAACTAAAAAACAGAATTTTATTATGATTATTATTTTCAATACATTCATAATTCCTATTCTCAGATTAAAAAAACACGATATTCAATGAAGAGAAGAGGACTCTTTTCAATGAATTTATTCTTAGACTGTACATTCGTATATGTATACATGATATTTAAAGACTACAATCCTTGAGGAAGATTTAAACTATATAATAGAAGGTTGAAATAATCATAATAGTGATTATAAGAATAATGTTGCAATTTGATGATAAAAACTTTGAATGGTAATAAAATGGGGCTACATAAGACCATTAAACCATTTATATGGCGTATATACATTACAAAGGTCTTACGTTTAACTCACTTGAAAAATTTAAACAATGAAAAAACAAAGATCCCATTTTAATTGATTTATTCGATTCATCATTCGTTCACTAATGAACAGTATTGTTTACTGGATTACGTTTATAACTACACAACTTTGAGATATCCTTCATATATTGTCCTAATTTCCTCACCTCTCTTCGTCAGATGACTAGTAAGACTTTCCATATATCTGGAACAGTTGCTGAGTCATTCCTGTTACTACATGTGTTAGGTGTTGATTCGATAAACAAAGATTCAGTCAGTTATCAATCTCTCCCTCCATCCTGTTAAGTTGTTAGTTTTAAGAATTTTCACCTTGTCCCATCCTATTGTGTGATTGTATGTAATTGCATGCATAGCTATGACTGAGCTGTTTTCTAAATTCCTTACCTTATTAGGATCTACCAATTTTGATCTAGCTAAGTTTTTGTGTTCGGATAGCCTAATTGACCCTGGTCGACTACTTTGACCTATGTATTTGACCTCACAATTCATTGCAAGGGATTTGGTAAACTAAGTTATTTTGCTTAATTGGGTCAATGGGATCTTTTTAACCTAGAAAGCTTATTTCGAAGTGAGTCTGTAGTTAATCCCAGCTAGCCTTACTGAGAATTCTACGTAGTGTTTCTGAGGTGCCTTCTTTGTATGGTAATACTGTGGAGGTTTTGAATTCTCTGTTCACTGTATTACCACTACTATTATTAACATCATTATTACTATTGTTGTTGCTGTTATTACTACTATCAATAACTGTGTTACTGATGTTTTTCCTAAGGAGCTTATCAATTAATTTGGGAGGATAATTGTTGATGATTGAGGCGTCTTTAATGTATCTGGTTTCTTGTTTTAGATCTTCCGTTTTATTAGTAAGTTTTTCGGCCCTCTTACTTAGACACTTTACTGAACCAACTTTAACTTACATCGAGTGAGACAATTTGAAGTCTAAGTGACGGTTTGAATGTGAAGATTTTCTGTAGACACTAGTGCATCTAAACTCCCATCTTGTTTCCTTTTTATTCGGCGATCAAACATCGCTAATTCTCCTTCTCTATGTTCTAATTCATAGGTGAATTGGATACATAGGTCAAAGTAGTCGACTAGGATCAATTAGGCTATCCGTACACAAAAACTTAGCTAGATCAAAATTGGTAGATCCTAATAAGGTAAGGAATTTAGAAAACAGCTCAGTCATAGCTATGCATGCAATTACATACAATCACACAATAGGATGGGACAAGGTGAAAATTCTTAAAACTAACAACTTAACAGGGTGGAGGGAGAGATTGATAACTGACTGAATCTTTGTTTATCGAATCAACACCTAACACATGTAGCAACAGGAATGACTCAGCAACTGTTCCGGATATGTGGAAAATCTTACTACCATCCATCTGACGAAGAGAGGCGAGGAAATTAAGACAATATATGAAGGATATCTCAAAGTTGTGTAGTTATAAACGTAATCCAGTAAACAATACTGTTCATTAGTGAATGAATGATGAATCGAATAAATCAATAAAAATGGAATTACGTTCTACCACAGCGCACAAGTTTTACTCATATATTGATAAAAAACGAAGATATTTGCAGAATAAAATGGACTCGTTCGCTTTCACGACCCTTCATCAGCTACACACAACCCACAGTTGAAATGAAGTAGTAGTAATCATAATAACAACATAACATACTTTAAATATCCAGAAATAAATGGAAATTTGAAGTCCAGAATTAACAATAAGATAGTGAATGAGTCAATGAAACACAGGATTAATAGTTACATATCTTAGTTTATATCTGATGACCGAAAAAATTCTAGATCTATAGAGTGCAGGGGTCGGGGACAATAAACTAAAATCAGTGTAAAACAAGGGTCTATTTAAGAGCTAATAATAGCCGATGTTGAAAATATTTGATAGCCAGAGTTCCCGCAAACCGTGACAAATATGGCTTTCTTTGTTTATTGATTATCCTGAAAGATTGAAAAACATATATCTGACGTCCTATTTCTATCACATGCCTGGTGATTGCGCTAATAAAGACGTTACTACCGTTCAGACACAGATTTCTTGGAATATGCTCATAAAATTGAGTAGATACCCTTCTTTCAGTCCATCCTCTGTACTTGCTTCCACAAGAATAAGTGAGTTAATAAACACATTTGAAGGTGACATGAGATAGATACATGTCTACTTTTGACTGCATTATTGAGCATAATGTATTGTAAACTGAGATCAGTTCGGTAGCAGGGAACAGCTTACAATACATTATTCTCAATAGCAAAGTCGAAATTAGACAAATACCTATCGCACGTCACGTCCAATGGTGTACATCACCTGTGATTGTGAAAGTAAGTATATAGGACGAACTGAAAGAAGGGTGTCTACTCAATTTTATGAGCATATTCCGAGAAATCTGTATCTGAAAAGGTAGTAAGGCACCTGATGCAAACAGAACATCAAATAGATGTTTTTCAATCTTTCAGGATAATCAATAAACAAAGAACGCCATATTTGTCACGGTTTGCAAGAACTCTCTCTATCAAACATTTTCAACATGACTTAGCTTTTAAACAGACCCTTGTTTTACACTGATTTTCGTTTGTTGTCCCTGTTCCTGTGTATGCGGGGATTCATTCGACAGGAAACCCTTGACTCATGTTTCGCATATACTGAAATTCATTGTCAAGGTGTATCTGCGGAACCAAGTTCCTTTACGTTTTCACGTACGCTTAGCTTACCAGTTTTAGTTGGATGGAAGCATTTGGCAAGAAGCCCCACCTAATAAAGGTTTCATGCTTTTAGGCACTCGTCAACAAGGTGTATCTGCAACCTCAGTTCAAATCTGAACGCAGGGCTACAGTCAGCAACGTTACATTACCACTGAGCTATTTGGCGCTTGAATGACTTTCCGTAGGACTTGTTTATGTACACTGATTACTTACTGGTAGGCAACCAGTTTCACATTGAGTAGTCCTGAGTATTCATTGAATTTTTATGGATGATTTTGCAATGTCATCACCGAACTAGATGACGTAACACCACTATATGAAGAATATTTGTAGCTCAGGTGGATGATTTAGGTTGCATTGTGTTCTCTGAGCTAGGCTGTTTAATCGTGAAGCTTTCATCGTCCTTCTAGACAACATCATCAGCACTAACTTCAGTATGAAGTGAGGTATCAATATCTCTCTGTGAGTGATTTAGTGGCTTGTCTTGAAGAAGCGGTCTATAGACATGAATTCAGTTCCGACAATGTAGAAATGTTGGATGGAGAGAGGAAACACAAAGAATATCAGAGAATTCCTAGAAGCTTGGCATTCACGTCAGGTCGATAGATGTATAGACAGACCCATTCTATCAGCCAATAAGAAAGATGGTAAACGACAGAAAGGTCAGAGGTCAAGCAGAGGGACAACCAGCAGGAAAATCTATACAGTTAGTGACAACAGTCAAAGGAAACGACCAATCATAGACCATTTCGTCGAAGCAAGCTACTAAAACACTCACAGAGAGATACTGACAGCTCACTTCATACTGAAGTTAGTGTTGATGATGTCATCTAGAAGGATAATGAAAGTTTCACGATTAAACAACCGAGTTCAGAGAACACAATACAACCAAAACCACTATGTATTGACTGACTAGTATCATCAATCAGTAAATTTACGTCTAGGGATTCTAACTTATTAACTTTCTAAGCATAACACCAAAAAAGGAAATCGGTTTACTTGCAACCATTTAGTTAAGACTTTTCAGTTAATTAAGTATCAAGCGCATACTTTCCGTGTATGATATACGTTCATTACAAGATTAGACAAAAAGAATTTTTTTTACTAATTTCATATATACTACTTAACTTCCGTATAATATCTACCTATTCGTGTATAATTAACTTCGTGTCATACAATTTAAAATCACATTACTGTAAGAAGACAAACTACAAAACATTAAATAATGTATAGATTTGGGAAAAAATGAATGTGATCAATGGTCGAATTCCCTAAATGTCATCACTGCCATTATTTTCTGCATACACATATAAATTATAAAACTTTATTCCATATAGAAACTAACGCAACTCTGGGAACGAACCAACGAAGCAAGAACCTATCACAAAACAAATATGCAAAACAAGAGAGTCGAGATGGATTGGGCGTATACTGAGAAGGCTATTTCGGGACATCACGTGCTCGGCCCAGGCGTTGAGTGGAATTCAAATGGGAAACGAAGAGTTGGGCGTCCGAGGTGAGGATGACATGGAGGACATAATGTGAGGAAGAAATGAAAGCTTATGGACTGTCGTGGAGGGAGGTCGAAAAGACTTCAGAGAAGCGAGTGGAATGGAGGCGTGCTACTGAAGCCCTATGTTTCCCTCGGAACCCAGGGGAAAAAGAAATAATCGAAACCAGCACCTATCTTCTTCAGCTGATGTGTGTCAGTCTTTGTTATCAGGTCATAATACGGTTTAATGCAAACATATGATTTATTTATTGTAAATAAACCCATAGACAACTCCTCTGTTTAGCCTACAAAATAGATTTATCATAAAACATAAAATTAACTGATAAAAACACATTGAAAGTAAAAAGTAAATGATTTGATACAAGATGTTATGAAAAATGAGGATTGAGAGGTAGTATTCATCATGGGTTGATAACATACTGGGTGATGATTGAAGGTAAGATGAAAATCCTGACCGTGGTCGAATTCGAACCAGCAACCACCGGGTTACCAGCCCGATGTTCTTTCAACTGAGCTACGAGATCCAACTGCTCACCAGAGTTTTATTTCACTTCAATCACCAAGGGCTTTGCCTATCTACCATGTGAATTTGTGACGCGTTACTAACACTTGATTGTATTCATACTGGCTGCCTCGTCAGGACATCTCATCCCGATCCCAATCTACTGAATTAGAGAGGTGGCGCATCATATTGATGATCATTTTGACTATCAGTGATAGCTGTAGTTTGGTAGACTAGTATTTATACTGGGTGATGATTGAAGGTGAGATGAAGAGCTGGACCGCCGCCGGATTCGAACCAGCGACCACAGGGTTACTCCCCGTTGCCCACCAACTGAGCTACGCATCGTGAGTAAGTACTGCCAAGTAGTCCCATACTAGGACGAAAAAGCTGTATAGTGCTCCCAGATTTTCAATGGTTCCCCTTACTGATGTCAGCCCATGATAAATACTACTTCTTTTTTTTCCTGTATATAGTGGTACTTGTTTGTCACCAAATAAACTGTTTCAAGTTGTTAGTTGACTGTAGTCAATTGGAAGGAAGCTTTACTTTCCCTAGGTTTTGTACTTATTACCATTCGTCAGCAAGGTGTATCGCCGACCCCAATGGAACTGATATTCCGCCTGTGATTCCAACCCACGTGAATACTCTTCTTTAGATCTGCCTAAGATTATGTTTATTTAACCACTGTTCAATAAGGATAACGCAGTCGTCTTACGCTATGGAAGAAGACATTGCTAAGTCTACATTCCGTGGTTACTAATCCATCTGACATGGAACATTTAAAGTATGCAGCTATACATATTGGCTAATTTAAGTTCAAGACTGACTTCACAGTTTGTTATATGTAGATCAAACGGAAAAAAGAACTTTCTAAGCTAATCTGGAAAGTTATTTACTGAAAAGGACTATTTTCTGGTGATTATTGTATTGCACCAATTTGATAGATTTTTGTTGGCTCATAGATCCTTCGAATCGACACCCTTACATTGCTTATCACGTTATAATTTGCTTGTTATTGACTAGTAGAGGGATCTAGGATGCGTGTTTTGTTCTACTTAAGACTCATCAACAGGGTGTACTTGCACCTCACAAAGGGATCGTACTGTTACTTCGATCCGAACTAAGTAATCATCGCTTCACGCCATAAACAGCCACATCTTAGACAATAGGTATAAGGGATTACTTGCTAATGAATACAATTTCCAGTTGGTAAACTCCGTCGGACTTATCAACTACCGTTAGAATATGGATTCCTCTAGGGATGTTTCAATACTGCTTGAATATTTATCACGGATCTCACCACTAAACATCACCAAGTAATCAAAATCATAATGAATAATCAAGCAATAATGAGGAAACCGAATAAAAACCCATCTACCAAGAGACTTTGGCTAGTTTGAACCAATACATTATTATTATTATTATATTTTTCGCTTTGGGTTTCTAGTGGAAATTAGGGCTTCAGTAGCACGCCTCCATTCCACTCGCTTCTCTGAAGTCTTTTCGACCTCCCTCCACGACAGTCCACAAGCTTTCATTTCTTCCTCACATTATGTCCTCCATGTCACCCTCACCTCATACGTTCAACTCGTCGTTCCACCTTTTGATTCCAGTCGAGCAACTGGCCTGACGCGTGATGTCCCGAAATAGCCTTCTCAGTATACGCCCAATCCATCTCGACTCTCTTGTTTTGCATATTTGTTTTGTGATAGGTTCTTGCTTCGTTGGTTCGTTGCCAGACAGAGTGAGTTCTTTGTTGCTTATTCTTTCTGGCTTTCTGATCTGATCTTCAGTATCGAGTGAGCGTTGTCCGTAGCTGCTGATGAATATCTGTAGTTTGTAGGAAATGCTTTTCGTGACACGCCAAGTGTCTGAACCATTTAGCAGCATCGACTTGACTGACATTAGTGTTAAAAATCCGGATGTTGTTCACTCTTTGTGCTGACTTTAGTAGATCGCCAAACTGACCAGATTAATGAAGGAAAGTCTGTCTTGCTGTCTTTCCGATCCTGGTTTTGACATCCTCGTTTGTGCTTGTGCTACCTGTAGTTGAAACGCTGCTGCCTGATTAGGTGTAGTTGAAAGAGACTACTTCCTTTAGGTTTCTGACGTTATTGGTGATTGGTGCTTGTTGTTGATGCTGTTATTGGTTAGGTATCTTCATCACCTGTGTCTTCTCTATATTCACTTGAAGTCCACTTCCGACCAACATAGCAACTGGAAATTACAAGTATCAATAATCAAGCACTAGAGCTTTATTCACCGACAACAGTTAAGTCTACACTTGCTAACATTTCTTTGTAGAAAGCAAATTTTGTAATTATTTAGTAATATAGTCTGTGACTTCAATAGTCGGAAATGTAGGAGAGGATATTCAAGTTTGCCGATGACCACTTTATCGAAGTTCCAGTGAGAAGTTCTGACTGATGGAAGAAACTAAGTCGAATATCAGAACAAATAATTAACAATAACATTGATTGAAGATTGTACTGTATTGTGTATTGAAAAAAGTAGGAAATTGTTGACCATTGGATTTCGACTCAATGACTGAATGATAATATGCTCTCCATGAAAGCTTAAGGTAATAGGTTCAATCCTTGTCGATATCATTGAGCTACATCGCTGAGGATTCCTATAACAGGACAAAACAGCTTTTCATCGCTTCAAGATTTTCAATAGTTTTTTCAACTAATATCGTCTCATGAAGTTAATAGCTATATCCTCATACATCTTGAAACTGAATTACTTTTCTCACCTCATGTATCTAAATTTATAAGCTGATAATTATCAACCTGATAGACATATTATGATAATAAATACTAATTGAATAAAATCCTTCGATAATTGAACTCACCTGTAAACTATTCCATTGAGTAAATATCTTTGTTATAAACTTTAATAAAACCAATTCAATTGTACTCTCATCAAATAACCATGTGTTCAATAATTGAAATTGTGTATTTGTTAAGAAATTTAAAAAAATTTCATCTAATTCCCTTGATAACATCATAATATCTGGTATTTCTATGGCTTTTAACCATTGATATTGTCTTGGTGTTATATTGCCTTTAGTAAAACTTTTCAAATTAACTTCTAATCCAATTTTTTTTCTCTTGTTGAATAAACTACTGAAAAATGTTGACTTATTAGTAGTATTAATACTGTTGCAATTGGCATTATTTGTAAATTGATTAGAGGATATAAAGTTATCTTGTTGAGTACAATAATATCGATTATTGTCTATTATAACATCATTGAGGAATACTGTATTGTTAGACTTTCTTTGAGGATAAAATTTATCTTTTCGTGTTAAATTTATCTATAAAATAAGAAGTTAGACTTAATGTTATTGTAGGAAATGAAAGTACTTGAATAAATTCAAGCATTGGGTAAATGGCATTTGTATATGTCCATTAAAATGTAAAATAAAATAAATTTGTTCCAACTGACGTTTCACTATTTAGTGTGGTTAATACGTTTATAAAGACAGAGGTGGGGAAGATATCCAACTCACACCATCACCAACAACAACAAGCTCCAATCCCCATCAATGGGAGAAACTTAAAGGAAGTAGATTCTTTCACCTACCTGCCTACCTAAGCAGCATCGTTTCAACTACAGGCAACACAGGCACAGACGAGAACGTCAAAGTAGCCAGCATCGGAAAAAACAGCAAGATAGGCGACCATTAACCTGAAACCAGTGTGGAGATCTGCCTCACTGTACTCAGCATAAGGAAGAAGATCCGGATTTTCAACACTAATGTCAGTCGAGTCAGTGATTCTATGTGATGGTTGAGAGACTTGGTGCGTTACAAAAGGAATTTCCAACAAACTACAGATATTCATCAACAACTGCCTACACTGGCTCGTTACTGAGGCTCAGATGGCTAGAAATTTTAAGCTGCAAGGAACTGTGGGAACGAATCAACGAAGCAAGAACCTGTCGGTCAACAAATGTGCACTGGAAGGAAGTGGATATGGATTGGGCATACAGTGAGAAGGCCTACTGGGGACATCACGTGTCAGGCCAGTTGCTTGGGTGGAACCCAGATAGGAAGCGACGAGTTGGGTGTCCGAGGTGAAGGTGATATGGAAGAGATCGTGTGAGGAGGAAATGAGAGCTTGTGCGCTGTCATGGAGCCAGGTTGGAAAGATTGGATAGAAGAGAGTGGAATGGAGACGTGGTACTGAAGCCGTATGTTCCACTAGAAACCCACGGGATAAATAATAATTAAATAATAATAATACTCCCATGTGGTTACAAGGAGGTAAAAATGGTGTAATAAAGAGCACGAAGATGAATCACGCTTTAAAGCAAAAAAAACCTTTCAAAAGCTATATGTCTTCGTATTCGCTGCATCATAGAGGCTCTTGTCATCCATATGGAGAAACCTGAACTGTGTACGCAAAAGAAGGTTGTCCAACCCTTTCTCCTTTCATAGTCTTCTTTTTCAGTCTCTTCTACGCCTTTCCCCACCCTTTCTTTTCAATTCTCTATTTTTACACTATTTACTTCTTAAGTAATTTGCTAGTCATTCTTATTGCTATGCTCTAACTGATCACAATCAGTTCCCAATTATGTTCAAACATACCTTAATTAATATTCACTAATACAAATAGCTTTATATATATATATATATATATATATATATATATATATATATGTATATATATATATATATATATGTATATATATATATATATATATATATATATATATATATATATGTAATTAAACCAATCATGTAGAGAAGATGGTTCACTCAGTAGATGTGTTTATAGGAAGACCATATCTATAAGTCAGTATACACATTTTATTAGTCGCGTACCAATTCGGTACAAAGCGAACCTGGTCAAAAGCATCACTAACACAGCACGGATGATCAAGTACTGAAGGAGTTAAATTATATCCGTAATTCATTGCTTGAAATTGGCTACCCTAACAGTTTCATAAAAGGATACATGGACAAAGCCAGGGAGAATAAACCTGCTACTATTATCATACAAAAGAAATCTTTGTTTATCAAATTGCAATTTAATGGTGTTGTGGCCGGAGAAGTTATTTTACCAGAGACTCTGTAGAGCGATTAAAAGGACCTTCTATGCCGCACAACTTTGTCTATCATTTTTCAGTTGACCAATTGTTACTTCTCAGATAAAAGATAAGTTATCTGGTTTTGCAATTTCTATGTATATTTACAAGTTTAGCTGCTCCTTTGGAGAAAGCTATATAGGGCATACTACTAGGCAACTTAACAAACGTATTGCTGAGCATCTACCTTCATGGTTGGGAAAGGGACAGATAAAATCCATCAGAAGCTCAGTTTTATCTAACCTCATTGATAGTGGTCACTCAGTAGATAAGAAAATTGGTTTCACGGTTACACACCGCATACCATCTCGTCTTTCAAAATGTATTCAAGCTCGTCTTTTATACATTGCAGAAGCTGTAGGAATTCGAGCTAATAATACTAGCCTTTGTATTCAGAAGAAGTTTGCACATCCCTTGGCTAGGGATTACTTAGTTAATAACTTGTCATCCAGGTATTATTATTTTTCCCATTTCTCTGGTATGCATTGGTGTTGCGTCGTTTCTGTTATACGTGTAGGCTGGGTGTTGATTCGATGAATAAAGATTCAGTAATCAATCTCTCTCTCTCTCTCTCCACCTAATTATACTGGACTTAAGTACAGTGGCTTTATCCCACCCTATTGTGTGATTGTGTATTAATGCATTCATTGCAATAACCAAGTTTTTCCTAGATTATTGATTTTCTTCGGCTCTGTTATTCTGTATTTAGCTAAATTCCTATATCCGGCCATTCTAACTGACCTCAACCGACTAGGTTGACCTATATACTTGACCTGATTCAGTCATTATATGGAATTTGATTGAGTAGATTATTTTGCTTAATTGGTTCTGTCGGATCCTTAGCTAGGTGACAACATTCATCTCTAAGTTTGTAGGCAGGTTTAAATGCCACTCTAATTCCAGCTCTGTTGAGGATTCTATGTAAAGTTTCGGAGGTACCCTCCTTATAAGGTAACACACTGGAGGCTGTGAACTCCTTTTTACTCGTGTTGTGGTTTTTTGCGTGTCCGTAAGAATTTCCTGAGAAACTGAGGAGGATAATTACTCACTATTAGCTCTTCTTTTACGTGTTTCAACGCCTCGTTTAAGTTCTTGAACTGACTAGTCAGTTTTCTAGCTCTGTCACTTAGACATTTGACTAAGCCTGTTGTAACTGACATTGGATGGTATGATTTGAAGTCTAGATACCTGCTGGAATGTGTTGGTTTTCTGTAGACAGTAGTATGCAAGCCATCGTCCGTTCTTCATTTCATTCTGCGATCCAACATTGGTAAATCTCCTTGTTCATCTTCTAAATATAGAACAGCAGACCTAAATAAGATCATTAATATAAGTGAAAAACTTGGGCACTGTGGTAGAATGTAGTTCCATATTAGATTTGTTTATTTGATATAAAGCGCACAGTGATACAGTATTATTTAATTGATTACGTTTCGAGCATAAATTATTGCTCATAATCATATCAATGTAATCACACACTTCTTTCGACATCTGATTTTATAGTCCTGTCACCTGATCTCTCTTTGTTTTTTTGTTTTTTGATTGGTAGTAAAGTTTTCCATATCTCTGGTATAGGTGTTGCGTCATTCCTATTCCACATGTGTTGGGTGTGGATTCGATGAACAAAGATTCAGTAATTAATCTCTCTCAATGTCCACCTAGCTATATTAGACTTAAGTACAGTGGTTTTGTCCCATCCTATTGTGTGGTTGTGTGTTAATGAATGTAATGCAATGGCTGAGTGTTTTTCTAGGTTATTGATCTTATTGGGGTCTGTCGTTCTATGTTTAGCTAAATTCCTATGTTCTGTTAATCTAACTGACCCCGACCGGCTAGTTTGACCTATGTATTTGACTTCACAGTCATTACATGGAATTTGGTAGATTATATTATTTTGCTTAATTGGTTCTATCGGATCTTTTAGCCGACAAAGCTTACCTCTAAGTGAGTTTGTTGGTTTAAATGCCACCCTAATTCCAACCTTGTTGAGAATCCTACGTATGGTTTCTGATGTTCCTTCCTTGTATGGTATCACAATAGAGGTGTTGATTTCCTTTCTACTTATGTTGTCACTATTATTTGTATTTGTATTAGTGTTATTATTTTGCTTCTTATGCGTCCGTGTGAATTTCTTAATAAAATGATGGGGATAATTATTATTATTAACGCTTCTTTTATGTGTTTCAATTCCTTATTTAAGTCCTTACAATGACTAGTGAGTTTCTCAGCTCTGTTATTTAGACATTTGACTAAACCCGCTTTAACTGACACTGGATGAGATGACTTGAAGTCTAGATACCTGTTAGAATGTGTTGGTTTTCTGTAGACGGTAGTATCTAAACCACCATCTATCCTTCGTTTTATTCTGCAATCCAACATAGGTAATTCTCCTTGTTCATTTTCTACTTCGTAGTGAATTGGATTGCGTTAACTACTGAGTTTATGTGTGTCAAGAAACTGTCGATATGTTCCGATTTCAACACTGTAAATGTGTCATCTACATATCGCCACCATATCTTAGGTGTCGGATTATATGTTCGTAAAGCCATATCTTCCCAACTATCCATAAATATATCTGCTACTATAGGGGATATTGGTGATCCCATTGCTACTCCTTCTGTTTGTCTGTAATCTTTCCCTGAAACTTGAAGACTGTCGAGGTTAAGCATAACTGCACTCCTAACATGATTTCACCAACCGATGCCTTGGTTCTTTGAGTAAGTTGTGAGTCAGTATCTAGTTGATTTCTGACTGCCTCCAGTGCCATATTGATTGGTATTTTAGTATAAAGACTTGTTACGTCAAAACTAACCATTTTTTCATCCTCTTCTATGTGCAGGTCATTAAGTTTTTGTTTCAACTCGTAAGAATTTACTAGTCTAGAGTTGGAACGGTCTCTAACAGGACGTAATACTGATGCTAAATACTTTGATATCTCATATGTTGGTGTGTTTCGGAAGTCAACTATCGGCCTAATGGGATAACCTGCTTTATGAACCTTAATAGTACCGTAAATTCTGCTAGGATTATTAGTTTTTGGCATTAAAGTAAACCATTCGGACTTACCTAGAGATGGCTTCAGTCGGCGTATCAGATCTGTTGTAGATTTCTTAATTTTATTCATGACAGTATCTATAGGTTTCTCTTAATCTCTCACTAGTCATTGTAAGGACTTAAATAAGGAATTGAAACACATAAAAGAAGCGTTAATAATCAATAATTATCCCCATCATTTTATTAAGAAATTCACACGGACACATAAGAAGCAAAATAATAACACTAATACAAATACAAATAATAGTGACAACATAAGTAGAAAGGAAATCGACACCTCTATTGTGATACCATACAAGGAAGGAACATCAGAAACCATACGTAGGATTCTCAACAAGGTTGGAATTAGGGTGGCATTTAAACCAACAAACTCACTTAGAGGTAAGCTTTGTCGGCTAAAAGATCCGATAGAACCAATTAAGCAAAATAATATAATCTACCAAATTCCATGTAATGACTGTGAAGTCAAATACACAGGTCAAACTAGCTGGTCGGGGTCAGTTAGAATAACCGAACATAGGAATTTAGCTAAACATAGAACGGCAGACCCCAATAAGATCAATAACCTAGAAAAACACTCGGCTATTGCAATGAATGCATCAACACGTGATCACACAGTAGGGTGGGATAAAGCCACTGTACTTAAATTCAATATAATTAGATGAAGAGAGGGAGAGATTGGTTACTGAATCTTTGTTCATCGAATCAACAAACACCCAGCCTACACATGTAATGGAAATGACGCAATACCCATCGTGCATACCAGAGATATGGAAAATTTTGCTCCCAATAAAAACAACTCATATAAAGTGACATAACTATGAGAATCGGCTGTCGAAAATGAAGTGTGATTACAAAGTGATATGATTATGAGCAATAGAGTAATTTATGCTCGAAACGTCATCAAGTAAATAATACTGTCTGCTATACATCAGATAAACAATTCCAATGTGGAACACCAATCCCTTTGCTTTGTCTCCTGAATAGAATATTACAGTGCTATTGTACATGTTGAGAATGAGATTGTTGAAATGAGTGGCTCTTCTCAAAGCATCTTTCTAATTAAGCCACTTCATTTTTGCACATTCTACAACTTTAAGTAGAGAAAGGTGAAGGAAAAGGACTAATAACCATAGTTTGCTTTTATTGGTAGCAAAGTTTTCCATATCTCTGATATAGATGTTATGTCACTCCCATTACATGTGTTGAGTGTTGGTTGATTCGACGAACAAAGATTCAGTGACCAATCTCTCTCTCCATCTTATTATATTTGACTTGGTGACAGTGGCTTTATCCCATGCTTTCTATTGTGTGGTTGTTTGTCAATGTATTCAATGTAATAACCGAGTTTTTTCTAGATTGTTGATGTTATTTGGGGTCTCTCATTCTATATTTGACTAAATTCCTATGTTCCACTAATCTAACTCAACCCGAACGCCTAGTTTCACCTATGCACTTGACCTAACTCACACTCATTACACAGAATTTGATAGATTAGATTATATTGCTGAATTGCATCTACCGGATACTCAAGCCGACATAGAAAGCTTATCTCGGAGTGAGTTTGTGGGTGGGAATGCCACCCTGATTCCATCCTCGCCAACAATCCTCTGTAAAGTTTCTCATACAAGCATCTAGACTTCAGGTCATCTCATCCAATGTCAGTTAAGACTGGTTTTGTCAGATGTCTAAATAACAGAGCTAGAAAACTCACTAGTCATTCATTGTAACGACTTCAACAAGGAATTGTAACACATAAAAGAAGCGTTGTTTATTAATAATTATCCTGTATCGTTTATGAAGAAATTCGAGTGAACATATAAGAAACGAAATGATAACAGTAACACGAGTACGAATAATGTGGAGAACACGGGTAGAAGAGAATTGAAAGTCTCAATTGAGTTAGCATACAAGGAAGGAACATCAGGAACTTTACACAGGATTCTCAACAATAGTGAAATTGGTGTGGCATTTAAACCTACAAACTCACTCAGAGATAATCTTTGTCAGCTGGCTTAAGGATATGATAGAACCAATTAAGCAAAATAATCTAATCTATCAAATCCCATGTAATGGCTGCAAGGTCAATCACATCTGTCAAAGTAGTCGGTTGGGGTCAGTTAGAATAGCGGAGCATAGGAATTTAGTCAAATATGGGATGAAAGACCCCAATAAGATCAATAATCTAGAAAAAACTCGGTTATTACATTGCATACATTGACAAACAACCACACAATAGAAAGCGTGGGATAAAACCACTGTCACTAAGTCAAATATAATTAGATGGAGAGAGAGACTGGTCACTGAATCTTTGTTCATCGAATCAACCAACACCAAACACACATGAAAGAAATAACGCTACACATAAACCAGAGATATGGAAAACTAGCAATGGCTGGACAAATTTCATTTTGACGCAGAGTTCAGACTTCGAAATATTGATTGTCATGTGTTCCTCAGCTTGAAGAAATTACAGGCGTTCATCTTTTTGAGGTTTGTACAAACTCCATAGATGAAACTGAAGTTGTTTTCTGGTCATAATCAATTAAATGTTCAAACATAGAGCAGTGAGGTGCTATCCTTTCTTCTTTGTTGAACCAGGCTAGCATATGTTTGAAAATGTATTTGGAGAACGAAATTTGAGTATGACCAATATATCTCACTCCATAGAAGTAAGTGAATTCATGAGCATATAGAGAAGTGGCCAAGAGAACTAGCTTGTGCTTTACGCATATTTGAAGCATTGGGTAAACAGAGAAAGTCTAAATTTGACAGCAGAGATAGATCTTCTTGATATGTCTCCCAATGTTTCGCCGTTGAATTGTAAGCTAATGAAGTATTATTCAAAATTTTATCAGACCTGGTTCTCTCTTTAATTACCTTATAGAAGTTTGTTTAAATAACATAACTGTATTGATTGGTCAGGGGAGTAGAACCAATTTCATGTTGTGTAGTCCTGAGTGCAGACAGAATCCTATCGATCATATTTGCAATATGGCAACGAAGCTATGAAGCTCAGCGGTAAAGTCGCTGACTATAAAACTGGGTGACGCGGTTTTGAATCTCAAGCGGGACATCAGCTCTAACGAGGTTGGAGATACGCTTTGCTGATGAGTGCCACAAGGCTCGAAACCTAGGTCCAAGGCTTTCGGCCGATCGCCTCCAATCAACTAACCAATAATATAAGTAATCAAATCATTGAACTCTCCTTATTTGTTAATAATATAAACAAGCCATATTGTTTGTTTTAAAAATAACCTAATATTTGCGGGTAGATTGAATTCCTTCATTTTTGACAGATAAAATAATCTTAGTGTTATTGCTTATATTACATCATCACTGATTGGACCGAATTGATGAGTCACTGTTAGCATATGAGCTCCTGTGCGGATGCCTTGATATTGCCTGTGTTTTAATTACGTATAATAATGATGGGTAATGGCTAGCAATGGAATCCAAGATGCACATTTCGTCCTGTTTGGGACTTGTCAACTTAGATGTACCTCTCTCCCAGTAAGTGATGTTGTTCCCACCGGGAGTCAGATTCGGCAGTGATCGCTTTAAACATGAGAGTGTTATCCACCATACTTGTCGCACAAGAAGTGACTATCGTGGCTCGTTGGTGTAGTAGATAACGCTCTCGCGGTTAAGATGATCGCTGCCGAGTCTGAAATCCCAGTGGGAACAATATCACTCACTGAGAAGTAGGTACATCCAGCTGACTGATGAATCCTAAATAGGATGAAATGCGCAGCCTGGATTCTCCTTCTAACCAATACCCATCATTACTATAAATAAAATAATTACTTCATGAACAACTATTATTTGTTATGCATAAATTAAATAAGGATAAGGTAAGAAAATGCAATGAACTTACTTTATTTGCCTGACATTTGTATAGTAGTCGAGCATTTGTTGATGGATGATAATTAGGATCCAATGAAACTCGAACTATTTGTAATTGTATTTCAATTAACTGATTAATTTTATCCCAACATGATAGATAATGATTACGAGTATTCTGTTGAATTGAATACAAATTCACAAATGATCATCAACTGTTTTGTTAGATGATAGTAACTTCAATTAGGAAACATTATTGCTTTATATCAAACCTAGAGAATAGTGTGCTTTATTCAACAGTTGGTAATTTTTACCTTTATAAAAGATATATGGATGATACACACGCGTCAGGCCCTCGAGTGGAATCCCTATGGGAAGCGACGAGTTGGACGTCCGAGGGTGACATGAAGGAGGTCGTATGAGGAGGAAATGAGGGCTTGTGGGATGTCGTGGAACCAAGTTCAAAAGATCTCAGAGAACAGAATTCACTAAAGACGTGCTTCTGAAGCCCTATGTTCCATTAGGAACCCAAGGGACTAATAATAATAATAATGGATGATACATTCAGGATATGTAATCAAAATACAGATACTGGAACTGTGATTAATAAGTTTAATGATTATCACCTATCAATCAGTTTCATATGAGAACTTGAACAAAATTCAGAATTTTATTTTCTCGACGTCTTATTAAAACAGAGATTAGATGACCATCTTCAAAGATCATTTTATAAGAAGCCTAAATGGAATGGACAATACTTGAATTTCTACAGTTGAATACTTTTAACTAGAAAAAGGAAATCGGATTGATTCTTTATCTTGAAGAATTGGAAGAATTCGCTCAACTGACACTATCAACGACAAACTAGACAAACTACGGAAGATTCTTATGCAAGCAAAATGGATACTCATTCAGATTTATTGAAAAGAACTTGAAATTTTAAAACAGAATACGTAGAAAGTACTCATAATTCCAAAGAAGACCTTGTCTATGAACGTTGATTTCTTGAAGAATTGGTTATCCAGATCACTGAAGAAGACATTCTTCTCTGTAAAGCTATAGACCAGCTTCTCTAGTCAGCAACTGATACCGTAGTGCGTTAAGAAAAAGTTGCCATTTTGGGTCATCGCAATGTGTGTCGACAAATTTACTTGCTCATGTAGAGATATAGGTCGCACAAAGCGCGCACTTTTCAAACGTATCTGTGAGCACTATCCTATATAGTAGTCCCGGGGGAAAATGTAAATCAACTAACAGTTCAATTTCTGAACATTTCATCAACTCTGGACACATAACTCGACCAAATTCCTACTTCAGTGTCATTCATAGAGTTAAATGGAATAGTTCAAAAGGAGTACGCTTTTGACAGTTGTGCAAACAGAAGCACTGGAAATTCAACAATTCAAGTCTGATGTCTGTATACAAAAGAAGTATGTTCAATCTTTAATCTTACCATAGTCTTAACACTTTCACAATCTTCCTTCGGTTTCATTATAATTAGTTAGTTTATTATTGTCGCCTTCATTATGACCCTTGTCTTATTCTTCACCTTTTTTATATCTACCCAATCATCCATACTCCCAACTTTTGTCAGTTCATGACATAGCACGACCGCTGCCCAATATCGTCGCTGAGTATTTTTTCCTCATGGCCTCAAGGTTTACCTCAATGGTCACGACTTCTCATTGGAACTTCACAAATTACTTCTCGAAGCTAGTCACCAGTGATCCCTGGCGGAGTTGTGGGTGCACACTGTTGAGGAATCCCATACTAGGGTGAAACAGCTGTCCAGTTCTCCCAAGTTTCCATTGTTCATTTAACTGATGTCAATCCATGATGAATACCAACTTAAAAAATCTTAAAATCCCCACAAACCCCCAAATTCAATCGAACAGTCTCAGTAGACTGATGAGTTGCCTAGTCATAATAATTTCTAAATACTGACTCATGAAAAAGTGTCGAGTAGTCTAATTGGTGGCTATCAGTTGAATCTGAGACATGCGCTTCGTCCCATTTGGGACTCATCAGCTAGATGTACCTACACTGCAGTCAGTGAGTGACTCGAACCCAGTACCAATCGTTTCAAACGCCAAAGCCCAATCTACTAGGCTATCGGGAGCGAGAGTTAACGATCCTACAATACTTCAACATAGATAAGGGAATTCGACCCAATGTAGCTTCAGAAGATCAAAAGTATACGATTCTAAAATTTGATTCATTTGGAATATATTTGTAAAAGCAACTATCGGCTATAGTTTACGTAAGATTCGGTGAATAAATACATTACACTAGATACAGGAAGAGGCGTAATAAAGATCAGACTTGTCCACATTTGAATACGTCAACTGGTAGGTTTTTGGATTGATCGATCAGTGGAAGATAACCAGTTTCATGTTATTTAGTGCTGTGAGCTGACTGAACTCCATCAGTTATTTCGCCTAGTTGTTGGAATCCTGGTCTGATGAAAGGGATAGTTTCATTTCAGTGTTGTATATAGTCGTTAATAACCTTTTTTAATGAAAAATTCTTCTTATTTGTAAGCTTAATATAGAGGGAAGCAGCGTCTTCACAGTTGACAGGCATCCTGATTTCTTCACTTTCCTCCTAGCCAAAGTATCAGTGAGATTGTAAGGATATCTATTGATTGAATATGAAGGCCCTATAAACTCTCTAAATCCCCACAAAACCACAAATTCAATACAGTTGTCTCTCATTTGACCTCTTAAGTTAGCAATGATATTCTTTTTCTTATCCAAGGCTGTCCACATTGTAATAGATTGTTGCATTCAGTGATTTCATTTATTGACATCTGTAGCTTAGTATTCCCTTACTGCTTTGAATATTTTCATTTAAACTCAGTCAATACTTTCTTCAATAGCTTAGTAGTAACGATTCTGGCTGTAATACTGAATGATATGGGTTCATATCTCTTCTACAAGGTTTTACCATCAAGCAGTATCCAAAACAATACCCAGATCCTTCTCAGCTTGCTGAGAGAGTACCTTCGAAAGCTAGCCGTCATTAGGTTTTTAAATTTAAAGTAATCTCCTGAAATACTACCTTGTTCATAAATCTAAATGGCACAAATTATTCCATATCCGTTAATGCTTGCATCGCATGGAGAAACACTGTTAGCACGAACACTGAATATTAGTAATATTCGTTTATTACTATTTGTACTTTGGGTTCCTAGTGGAACATAGGGCTTCACTAGAACGTCTCCATTTCACTCTGTTCCCTCCAATCTCGTTAACCTGGCTCCACCACTGCCCATTACCTTTCATTTCTTCCTCACGCGATCTCCTCCATGTCACCTTCGGACGTCAAACTCGTCGTTTCCCCATTGCGTTCCACTCGACGGCCTGGGCTGGCGTGTGATATCCCGAAACGGTCTTCTCAGTATATGTCCAATCCAATCCATCTCCAATTTCTTCCTCTGTATATTTGTTTGGCTATAGGTTCTTGGTTGGTTGATTCGTTGCCACCCAGAGTTCCCTGTTGCTTATTCTTTCTGGCCACCTGATCTCAATCTTCACTATCGAGCATAGGGAGCTGTTGATGTTTGTCTGTAGTATGTTAGGAATGCTTTTTGTAACGTGCCAAGTCCCTTAATCATCACATAGAAGCACTGACTTTACTGAATGACTGTTGAAAATCCGGATCTGTACTGTATGTTATATTTAGGATATCGATGGAGGTGACCTACATAAATTCCTGCTTGACCAAGATTTCATGCTTGTTGGCTTTCTTTAACGATAAGCCGCCTGAAATTCGAATCCACATCACCCAGTTTTGCGGTCAAACACGTTACCACTAAGCTAACTGGGTCACGACTGACTTCTCATAGAACTGGATTCTGTACAATGATTTGGTCACTAAAGGGTAAGCAGCTTCATGTTGTCTAGTGGCCACCAACCCAGAAGATTCATTATATGTATATTCTTCAAAAGTTTACCTTTTTTCTGTTACCTGTATGAGACCAGATATTTCTAAAGCCTCTTCATATACTCCTGAAAATTGTCTTTCCCTCCAGTGAAAATTCATTTCCTCTGACCATGAATATAATAAGCCGATTAATTCATTCAGTGATTGATAACCCTGTTGTAAAAGAAATTTGGTAAAAGAAACCAAACAACAATAACAAAAAGCAATCAGATAATTAATAAAGGAATAAAACAATCCCAGCAGAATGTATAGTACTATTAGGATTCATTTATTATTATTATTATTATTATTATTATTATTATTATTATTATTATTATTATTATTTGTCTCTTTGATTCCTACTGGAACATACAGCGTCAGTAGCACGTCTCCATTCCACTCTCTTCTATCCAATATTTTCAACCTGGCTCCACGACTGCCCAGAAGCTCTCATTTCCTCCTCACACGGTCTCTTCCATGTCACTCTCACCTCAGACACCCAACTCGTCACTTCCAACCTGGGTTCCGCCCAAGCAACTGGCCTGATGCGTGATGTCCCCAGTCGGTCTTCTCACTGTATGCCCAATCCATCTCCACTTCCTTCCAGTGCACATTTGTTGACCGACAGGTTCTTGCTTCGTTGATTCGTTCCCACAGTTCCTTGCAGCTTAAAATTTCTAGCCATCTGAGCCTCAGTAACGAGCCAGTGTAGGCAGTTGTTGATGAATGTCTGTAGTTTGTTGGAAATGCCTTTCGTAACGCGTCAAGTCTCTCAACCATCACATAGAATCACTGACTCGACTGACATTAGTGTTGAAAATCCGTATCTTCTTCCTTATGCTGAGTGCAGTGAAGCAGATCTCCACACTGGTTTCAGGTTAATGGTCGCCTATCTTGCTGTTTTTTCCGATGCTGGCTGGCTATGACGTCTTCGTCTGTGCCTGTGTAGCCTGTAGTTGAAACGATGCTGCCTAGGTAGGCAGGAAGTGAAAGAGGATACTTCCTTTAAGCTTCTCCCATTGGTGAGGATCGCAGCTTGATGTTGTTGTTGTTAGTTGGGTATGTTCATCACCTCCGTCTTCTCTATATCCAATTGAACTCCCGTCTTCGCTGCCCTACCCTACCTCTTCTGTCAACTTGTTACTTTCCGCCTGTAGATCTTCAAGTTTGTGCGATATCAGACACAAGTTATCACTGGCAAAAAACAAATCTTCTAGGATCTTTTCTGCGGTCCAGCGTATCACCCCCTTCTCACTATTCACCGTTTGTTGCATGACCCAGTCGATCACAATCAGGATTATCATGGGTGGTAGTAGGTGGCAACCTTGTCTTACTCCTTCCTTCAAAGGTATCACTGGGCTTTGCATTCTGAATCACTTGGCATATGGCGTCTTCATATAGTTGTTGAATGAGATTGATAAAGGTTTGTGGTATTTCGTAGTATTGAAGCAACTGACTGTCAAATTACTTGCCGGTCGACGCTGTCAAAGGCCTTTTCAAAGTGGATGAAGTTGAGGTGAGGTAGAGAGTTGACTGCCATTCCATACTCTGTTCTATGATGATGTGTAGCGCGGCGTTGCAATTTGGTCCGCACATGATTTGTACTTCCTGAATCCAACCAGTCTGTTCCGGTCGTAGTTTTGAATCCAGTGCATCCTTTAGTCCCTACAGAATGATGCGGCTTAATATTTTGCTTGGAGTGGACAGGAAAGTGATTCCGCTCCAGTTCTTGCAAACACTAAGATCTCCCTTCTTTGGAAGTTTGACAGGGTAGCCCTTCTTCCAATCAGTGGGAAGGTGTCTTTCCCTCCTTATACACCCTCTGCAGTAGTGGTGTGAGCATGTCCGTTGTTGTCCCTGCATCTGTTCTCAGTGCTTCTGGTGGGATTCCATCTAGTTCTACTGCCCTCCCGCACTTCAGTGATTTTATGGCATCCAGGACTTCGACTTTCGTTGGAGGGCCTGTGTTTACTGGTAGTTCTGTGGCTGGGCGGCAGGTGGTATTTCTGGATGAAGTGCAGGTGGTGGTGGTGGTGGTCGTTTCAAGAGCTTCTTGAAGTGGTCAGCCCACTGTTTCCTTTGTTTCTCTTACTTCTTAATTAAATTTCCATCACCATCTTTTATTGGTTTCATGTGTGTTGATCTCTTCCCAGATAGCAGTAGCCTGGTTATTGGATACACTGTTGTCAGGTCTCTCCTACAAGCCGGTACTCTTCTTCACTTCTTTGTCCAGTGTTTAATACATTGTACTCGGTTCCTCTTGTCGTTGTGCATCCTTGCACTGGTTTATCTTCTACTTCACTATCCTTCTCTCCCTACTTTATCAGCTTCCATGTGTCCGAGGAGATCCATTCCTTATCTTCTTTGTTCTTCCCTCCTAATACGGTTATACAGGTTTCCTTCCACATAGCTTTCTAAGAGTTCTAGTGTTTATCCACAGAGTTTTCTTTAGGGATTTTCCTCGATATCTCCCATTTTGTCTTGATGACTACCGCAAAGATGTCCTTTGTAGTTTCGTCCTTCAGTGCCCGAGTGTTGTACTTGAACTTCAGCTTCCTTGAAGGCATTAAGATTCATAAATCAGATTATCCCATCAGGCTTATAGTAAATTTTAGAAACACTCTGACTTACAAGTTTTCTCAATATTTAGCAATGATGTTAGGCCCAATAAGAAATCACTGGAAATCTTGACTTATCAATTCTTATGACTTCAAGCACAGATAAGACGATATACACTTAGACGATAGTGAAAAAAACTGGTAAGTTTTGACATAACTAGCTTTTACACAAATATACCGGTCGACATGGCTCTACATGCAGTTAAAGATGGGCTTATAGATGACAAAGAACTTACGCATCGAACTAAGGTGCTAATCGAGGAAATCATACTAGCAGTACGATTGTGCCTAACATCTACAGTTTTTAAGTTTCAAAATAAACAAACCGAAGGTGTTGCCGTGGGATCACCAATATCCTCTATAGTCACAGATATATTTATGGATAGATGGAAACAGGTGGCTGTTCAAACATTCAGTCCTATTCCAAGGATATGGTTCGATATGTAGACGATACGTTTACAGTACTGAAATAGGAACACATCAACAGGTTCATGGCACATGTAAATTCAGTAGTGAGTGCAATCCAATTTACCTGTGACTTAGAAAGTGAAGAAGGTGAACTAGCAACATTGGATTGCAAGATTAAACAAAAACAAAATGGAAGTTTAGAGACTAGTGTCTATAGGAAACCTACCTATTCAAATCGCTACTTAGACTTCGAATCATCCCACCTCATTTCAGTTAAAGTAGGTTTAGTTAAATGCCTAGGTGATATAGCGAAGAAGCTTACCAGTAGACCAGAAAATCTACGACAAGAAATTAGATACATCAAGAATACCCTACGTCTCAATAATCACCCATCTAGATTCATAAATAAATTCATAAGAAATCGAAAGAAAAATATTAGCAGTCGTAGTAATGGTAGTAATACATGTGTTATTAATGATAACTCCTATAATAATGGTAATAATGGTGATAGGGTTAAGAGAGAATTCAAAGCCTCTACTGTGTTACCATACAAGGAAGGGACCTCAGAAGGATTACTAAGAATTTTCAATAAGGCTGGCTGAGATTAGAATGGTATTTAAACCAAGCAACTGGCTCAGAAACAAACTTTGTAGATTGAAAGACCCTATCTATGCAATTAAACAAAATAATCTGGTTTATCAAATCCCTTCTAGTGATTGCGAGGTGAAATACAAAGGTGAAAGTAGTCGACTGAGGTGGATTAAAATAACGGAGCAATAAAGATTACTAGATCGTAATAAGATAAGAAATTTAGAGAAAAGCTCGACTATAGCTGTGCACGCAATTGCACAGAATCACACAATAGGGTGGGATAGAGTGACAGAGTTAAGAACTGACTTAATTTGGTAAAGGATTGGGGATTGATAACCGACTGAATCTTTGTTTATCGAATCAACACCAAATACCTGGAGTAATAGGAATGATTCTTCACCTGTCCCAGATATATGGAAAATTCTACTACCCTTGTCATCACAGAGAAGGAGAGGAAATTGGGAATATATAAATTCTATCTGGAAGTTATGGAGTTAGTTACTTGATATGAATATGGACAATAAATTGTATCGGAGACATTGTTATCCAGTAAATGATACTATTCCTCCATTGTGTGACATTTGTAATAAATAGACTGAAACGTAATTAGATAGTTGATTAGTTGTCATTTAGAACTGATTTTCCGCCAGTCATTAACTTTGCTTTATCATGTTTGCTTCATTTTTAGCCTTACCTTGGTAATATAAAATCAGTGAAAGTTTATCTCAATGATGAGGTATAAGAGCAGAATATTTTTCTACACATATAAAGATGACTTCAGTTAGCGTACACCTACTACTTTTAGACTATCATAATGATATGATTACTTAACTCAAGAGTATGTATTCTTATGACATAGATTCTTTATTCACTTATATCCTTGTGTTCAAAACTATTAACATTCTTTAGCATTATATAATCGTTGGAATGTGAAAACTTTCGACAGATTGGTGGTGTAGCCGTGATTAATACCAACCCCCCCCCCCCTACGTTAAATATTGAAATAGTTGTCTAATGATCTGGTTGTTATGGTTCCTCTTACAAGAGATACATCAACAACATCATGTAAGAAGCATTAGAATATAGCTGATGGATTAAAAAGAACTTACAAAATTATATCAAAGTAACATATAAAGAGAAGAAATACAGTCACTTGTCATTTTTAGATGTACTGTTGAGTCAAAGAGAAGATTATCCGATAAGGTAGCCAGTCTACAGAAAGTGTATGTGGACAGAACAATCTCTACATTTTCATGATTTCCGTACAACTCAACGCAAGTGAATTTTAAGTAAGATCTATCATATTTGTACATTAGAGACGATGGATGAAGGTGTAAGATAGGTAGATAAAAACATATATCCATCAAAGTTTATAAACCATACCACCATACCGAAGCGAGTAGAATTTTGAGACGAAGGTTAAGATCTGTCATTATTAAAATATATTGCGCATCCAACTTTATCATAATTGAAAAGAAAATACAAGCTTCATCACGAACATCAACACTTGATAAGCCACTGTTCCACGTCCAAGTGTGTTTACTAGTTTATATATAT